ACCTGCCAGCAGTGTGGAAAGGGTTTTAATCGTAAACAAAGCCTTAAAGTCCACTTAAAAATCCATGCTGGAGAGAAGCCGTTCATATGCCCCCAGTGTGGAAAGAGTTTTACACAGAAATCAACCCTTAATGTCCACATGAAAATTCACACTGGAGAGAAACCTCACACCTGCAAACTGTGTGGGAAGAGTTTCTCAGTAAAAGGAAGTCTTAAAATTCACATGAGAATTCACACTGGAGAGAAGCCGTTCATCTGCTCTCAGTGTGGAAAGAGCTTCAAACAGAAAAAAGAACTTGATGGCCACATGAGAGTTCACACTGGAGAGAAACCTTTTGATTGTGCTCAGTGTGGAAAGAGTTTCGGATATAAATCACACCTTAATAAACACATGAGGATTCACTCCGGGGAGGACTGTTTTATATGTCAGCAGTGTGGAAAGAGTTTCTCACACAGAGGAAACTTTGACAATCACATGAGATTCCACACAGGAGAGAAGCCTTTCACCTGCCAAGAGTGTGGAAAGCGCTTCACAGTTAAAGGAAACCTTAAGACACACATGAGATTTCACACTGGAGAGAAACCTTTCACCTGCCCTCAGTGTGGAAAGGGTTTCACAATTAAAGGAAACCTTAAGACTCACATCAGAGTTCACACTGGAGAGAGGCCTTACAAGTGTCCTCAGTGTGAAAAGAGTTTCAAAAATAACCCATGCCTGAAACGGCATTTGCAAACTCACTCTGGAAATAAACTGCCATTGTCCTCAGTGTGACGAGAGGTTTAGGAGCAATTTCAGCAATCATCTGTGCATTCACTCTGGAGAAAGACAATTTGATTGTGTTCAGTCTAATAATAACATCACACTTTAACAAACATATTAAAGGGTTAATTCACCCAAAAATGAAAATTAGCCAATAAATGACTCGCCCTCAATGCATCCTAGGTGTATATGACTTTCTTCTTTCAGACGAATCCAGTCGGTGTTCTATAAAAAAAATGTCTTTGATCTTTCAAGCTGTTTAATGGCACTCAGCGGGTGTTGCATGCATCAGTCCAAAAGAAGTTAAATAAAAAGCACCCATCCATAAAAACAAGTGTCTCACACGGCTCCGGGGGGTGAACAAAGGCCTCCTGTAGCGAATCGATGCGTTTTTGTACACCCAAAAATGAAAATTAGCCCATAAATGACTCACCCTCAATGCATCCTAGGTGTATATGACTTTCTTCTTTCGGACGAATCCAGTCGGTGTTCTATAAAAAAAATGTCTTTGATCTTTCAAGCTGTTTAATGGCACGCAGCGGGTGTTGCATGCATCAGTCCAAAAGAAGTTAAATAAAAAGCGCCCATCCATAAAAACAAGTGTCTCACACGGCTCCGGGGGGTGAACAAAGTCCTCCTGTAGCGAATCGATGTGTTTTTGTAAGAAAAATAACCATATTTAAAATGTAATAATCACTTTAATCTAGCTTGCGCCAACAGTTGTAAACGGAAGCAGCTCCGGGCGGATGATGTATGAGGTCGGCGTTGCGCATAAAATAAAATTTCAAATAAAAAACTTATTTTTGCAGAGCACCGGCCAAACACAGCTGAATGTGCCATCAAAATTACCAGCAATAAGAGAGCTTCCACTTTTCTTTTACAGGTGAATAGAAGAGTAATCACACAAATACTGGTAACCACTTGGCTCCAAAGCAAAAATACGAAGGGGTGGATGCACACCAAAATATTATAAACCTTTTTTATACTATTCAGAGGTGATTGGGATTCCCAAGTGAGACCACATATATAACGTTGAATGTGACTAACTTGAAGGGAACTTGCAGTTATGGTAATAGGCGTGACATTTCCGGAAAGACCCTCTAAATGGTTTACCAATCACAACGGCCTGGGCCAGCTAACCAATCAGAGCCCTTTTTGTGTCAGAAGGAGGGGTTTCATCAATACAGGGACTAAACAGGGCATTTGAGACAGACTGGGAAGAAAGGTGCGACAATAATGTTAATTTATGTGGAAAATAATGAGTTTTTGGAGCAATCAAGCATGAAAACAAATTCTATTATACCACAAAAACCAAATCAAGACTATTATTATACAAAAGTGAGGCTAAATCTTTTGTTTATTGAAGCTTTATTTGACTTGGGTAAAAAAATAAATAAAATAACAAACAGACATTTCAATGCAAGCACTTAAAAATTTTACTATCACATGACAAAATTAAAAATATAGAATAAAAATATGTTACATAAATATGTAAAATTAAATACATGACATGTCTTTGTATAAAGACATTGGCAAAAAAAAGTTATTTTTCCTAAATTTAAAAAGCTTTAGCAGTTTCAAATTTTCAAAGGATTTTTCCTTTAACACTTACATTAACACCCATATATCTTATGCAAATAGTAATATGTATTATTACTAACCTTGTCCTAATGTTTGTGTATGGGAAAAGCCTCAGAAGAAAAAGAACATGCTGAACACCTTGAAAAAGACATTTAAAATATAATAATAATAATAATAAATGCTTATTGATATGTGTTTGTACTTGGTTGTATTAAATAGTAATTATTTAACCAATATTTGACTGGGTTTTTTAATAACTGATATCAATGATCAATTATGTTTATATGTCTGATAACTGGTATGCAGAACCAATATTTATGTTTTACTTCTTACCACAATAAAAACGTAAATGTTGCATAAATAAAAACAGTATGTTGCATTTTTCTAACAACTAATATTGACATGAATTTCCTGTGGTCCTGCAGCATTACAACAAAAACAAAGCACAATATCTGAACTGAACTGATTGAGGTGAAGTGGAGAAAAAATATAGAAATAGAAGTTATAGAAAAGTAATGAACACATTCAAATGTCTGTCACAATGAAGAATTCAATAGATTCTTCAGCGTTCCTGATATTCAAAATGGTAAGCAAGCGCTGCTTTGTATATCAGCGTTTATCTCGTATATCTTTGTTTCGGTTTCTTCTTTCCAGATGCTGCCGACGCGAAGCGACAACACCGTCGGCTTTTATCGCCACTAATTCTATGATGTCGGCTTGGTGTGGGCCTTTACTGATTCATCATGCAGCTTAAACAGGGTTCCCGCGGGTCCTGATGAACAGAATCCTATCTCACTGGTAGGTCTTTCAGGGTGGCCTGGGGTGGGGAGGTATCCAAAGCTCGCATCGAGTTCAAGACATTGATCCTTGCAAATAGAACAGCCACAGGCTCAGCACCCGCCTACTTCCACTCACTACTACGAATCTACATTCCCTCCAGAAGTCTGAGATTCGCTAGTGAGCGACGCCTCGTGGTACCATCACAGAGAGGCTCAAAATCACTTTCCAGAACATTATCGTTCACCATTCCTGGCTGGTGTAATGATCTTCCCACCCCTATCCAGAATGCTGAATCCCTTACAATTTTCAAGCGACAGCTGAAAACTCACCTCTTTCGTCACTATCTGACTTCATCCTAAAAAAAAAAAAAAATTATAATCTTTTTCTCTTTTCTTTAATCTTTGCCTGTCTAGCTTGTACTTATTTGAACAATGCTTGAAACTTAGTATTACGAGCACTCCCTGTGTCTATTTGCCTCCTTAAGATGAATCGCTTGATGTGTTCCCCAATTGTAAGTCACTTTGGATAAAAGCGTCTGCTAAATGAATAAATGTAAATGTTTTACACAGCTAAATAGGCTAAATGGAGCTTGCTGACACTGCCTCGAACACTTAGGTTCACACCAGCTCTCACATTAAGAATAAGATGGAAAGATAAAAAATTAATAGTTTCCATGTATCTGGTCTTTGCATCTGTTTGTTTGATGTTTGAATCAGGTCTCCTCTGTTGGAATATAATTGGCTACATGGTGCTGTCACAAAAAAATAAGGTCCTAGAAATGCAACCTCCGGTATTGCAGGAACATACTATTAGGGTTGTTTTTGTTCAGACCACTGCGAAAATCGACCCATGTTATTACCCACATAGCAAAATTCCTGAGGCCCAGATCAGGCCCACACCTGACACTTTCATCTGGCCCACATACCGCGTGGAATGATGGCAATTGGGTGGTCCGCTCCTGTTCGCCAGATTTGGGCCACAAGCAAGCGTACAGAAGGCCCAATGTCAGCCATGAATAAGCCAAATAAAGCAGAACTGGCCCAAATCTGGGCCACATTGATATTAATTCTGGCCCAGATCCAACACCTTACTCCGGCCCACATACTGTGAAAAATTATGGCACTTGGGCGGTCCGCTCCTGTTTGCCAAATTTGGGCCACAAGCAAGCCATAGGAAGGCCGCATGTAAGCTATGACAATAAATAAATAAAAGAAAGTAGAACTGGCCCAAATCTGGGTCACTTTTATTTTAATTCTGGCCCAGATCCAACACCTCGCCCACATATTGCGTGGAATAATGGCATTTGGCCAGTCCGGTTCTGTTTGCCAGATTTGGGCCTCAAGTAAGCCTTAGCATTGCTGCATGTAAGCCAACCAAATAAACCAAAACTGGCCCTAATGTGGGCCACAGTTGATTTTTACTCTAACCCTGGTCTTCCCCACATTCCTCATGTGGCCCACATGCTGCATGGAATGGTGGCATTTGGCAGTGGTCCACAAGCAGGCCACTACACAGCCACATTTTAGCTAATAATGAACTAAATAAACCATAAATATACAGTATCTGAAGTGTTACAACCAGAAGTGGTCCTCATCTGTTTTATAATATATGGGGCATATTTGCCATGTCAAATGTGGGACAAGTTGGCTTACACACTGATTAGCCAATGCTGACTGTGCCATATATTTGCCAAAAGTGGCCCAAATTGTTATTAATTATTTGGGCAATATTTGTCTTTTTATATGCGGGCCACATTTGCAGCATCATATAAGGGCCACCTTAGGCTCACAGCCACATTAGCCAGTGCTCACTGTGCCACATCTTGAGGCCAAAGATCAAATCTGTCTGGATGATCAGGATACGGCTGGACTTCGCCAGTGAATGTAATCACTCTGTTGCTCTTAGACAGACGGAGGCGTTGATTCACTGTGTTCAGATCCAGAGAGAGCTGATGGGAATCTGATGGAGATAAAACATCAGAATCAGGAATTATGAATCTGTATGATCTTTTCATGTAGCTGAACTCTTCATGTTCAATGTATCATCAGTGTCTCAGTACAGATGAGCAGATATCCTGTGCAAATCATCATTTACATCATCAATTATAAAACTCTTCTTTCACCTTCTACAGGAAGAACATGAACACACTCAGTGAGTTTTTCTGCTGGTTTTCTTACTGACTTACATTGTAGGAAGTGGTTCCTGGTTCTGGGAACAATGTTGGTGAATGTGACTGTGGAAATCAACAGACATGAACAGTGTGATTCTCATGATCCTGCATCCATTTCTAAGACATTTCTAATATGTTCTACATATTTTACATAATATGAGATGATGATGGACTTGTTTCTGAGAGCAGATGAGTCTCCAGGACTTTACCTTTGTCTGAGATCTTCTTGAGCTGCTCTTTGCAGAAATCCTCCAGTTTGTCTCTCAGCTGATGGACAGATTTTCTCAGGCCATCAAAAGAGACGAGAGAACTGAAAGACATATTGGGTGTGTCCGTAGATTCAGGAGGTGCTGAGAGGGACTGGAAACTCTACAGAAAAAATGAAATTCATTCAAAACTCATCAGCTCCACACTTCACCCAACAGCCTGCACTATGATTAGAGTTGTGTGGCTCTCAATGACTTATTTTTAGTAACTCATCTCAATCCAGCACTTTCATAGCATCAGCTACATTCTTGCGGCCAGCTTTAGATACGGCTTTGGATGTGACTAGCTCAGGGAGTCCTGTACATTGTTCGGTTCCGGTTACAGAGCCTCCGCAGCAGGGCGACTGGGTGACTGTGAGGCGGCATAGTCGCGGGACAAAACAACGCTCTTCCGTTCTGATCAAAACATC